GGGGGGCAAGAATCAATGCCTCTTGGAGGAAACAAAACAAAGACATGACCCTGGACTGAATTTTTTGCAGTGACATCTGAAGCATTTTGAGAGACATCTGGCATCGAGCCTGCACTGAAGACATCTTGACAAGTCAGATGGCAAAGGAAAGCTAAAACTCCCATAAGATATATTTTCCACACATAAGCCAGTCATTAGGTCCTTTGAGTAGAAGCTTCAAAGTGATGAGGAGCCTGTTTGAAACACATTCTTTGAGATACTTTCAGAACTGAGAAAATTAACATCCCATGTCTCTTTTTTGCTGTCATCAGCTCCTATAAAACACCATCTCCCCATCCCCCATCAAGGCGCTAGGGGCAGTCAGGGTAAAGAGAGAGAATTAAGCATCCTTTTCAACAAAAGGGAGAGCACCAGTGCCAGCATGAAGCACAGTTGATGGACTGCTTAAAGATTAAATTCGTTGAAGCCATTAGGAAAAAGCAGAAGGACATTCCTGTGTCCTCAGGCGGAGGACTGAAAGCTCAACCATTTTAATTAGCTCCTTCAAAAGTGATCATTGAGATCACTAATTTTACAAAGTAGCCCAATCAAAATGCTATACTTATATTGTATGCTCTTGTTCCTGCAGTCCATAGAACCTACTGTGATTAGTGAGATTCAGAGTTTGTTGCTAACATAACTTCAGGGCTGTTTTTAAAGATACTTGTTATATATCCCAAATATATAAAAGGGACAGGTAGAAAGCAGGGCAGGCTGGCACCTTAGAGAAGCACAAGCTTTCATAGACAACAGCCTACTTTATCAGAAAGGAAAAATCATGGCTAACTTCTGTAGCACTGTGAAAGATGACACACGAAGTGCAAGGGTTTTTTTTCTGTGCACTTACCTGGCAGAGGTACCTCAAAGCTTGACCTCATTTGATCACAAAGGCTCCAGGAAACCAAAAAGTAAAGCCCCACTTTTGAGAGAAGGGAAGGAAATTGGATTATGTCTCTGCACCCTTCCACATTGACCACGATTGTTAGCCACATTAGGAAATGGACACCTGTAAACAGAACAATGAATGCCAAAGTGCCCCAGGACACTTTTTTCTTCTTTTAAGGCACAATACCTCTACCTGGGCTGGTCTGATTAGGCACTCTTCTAACACAGCACTGTTCTCTAAGTAACCCTTGCCTAATGGTGAAGGTGCACAATTGGGTTCCAGTCCTTCCTTTGCCAGAAACATCATGTATGTCCTTTGACAAGCAAAGACTGCTCATTGCCTCAGTTTTCCCACCTGTAAAACAGAGGAGCCCTTTCTCTCGGTGCTCATCTCATAGTGGTGTTGTAGGAGTACATTCATGAATGTTATTCAGTTGTCTTGAAATCTGTGTGTCTTGGTTCTGTAGCTATACAGAATAACTCCATTACAAAACGTTTTTAAAATGTTGGACTTGAATGTATCTTTCTGGTAAGCTAGTAAATATTGTTGTTGATTAACAGGCAGGTCCCTTGGTGGGATTTTGACCTTTTTTGTTTTGTTTCCCTTGCCCTCCATGTCTTTTTATGGAGTCAGGCACTTCAAGTCTAATTCCTGGGAGATTAATAGAACATTTAATTGCTTACAGTGACCTGCCTTTTGACTCATGCACCAATCACCACAAATTCACTGCTCTTCATCATTAAGATAATCCAACATGCTTCTTTGCATTACAGAAGAAAGAAATTAAGGAACAATTATTATATAGTAACTGATAAACTGCTCAGGACAGGAGTATGCCTTAAATCCATCTATATAGCTTCAAATGCATTTGCACATGCTACTTAAAATAAAAGGTGACATTTGCTATACAAGCTGCAATAAGCCCCTGATTGTCATACAAATAAGATCATCTTATGTCAAAGTGACAGAAACAAGACTTTCTCAAAGTAACAGAAGAAACTACATACCTCCTAGAAACAAGCATTGTAAAGTGGAGTCCATAATTTGTTAGCACTCTCAAGTGCCAACAGTGAACAAGATCCCTGATGTTGCAGATGACAGTTTTCAGGGTAAGATAAACTCTGGAGCAGTTTGAGCTGGAGTAAACTACTCCTAGGTGCAGCATCAACAGTTGTGCCCAGAACAGCAGCAATTTGAGCCAAGATGGAGCAGTTTATGCCAGGACCGCTCATACCCTGCTCTGCCCCAGGCTCTGGGTGACAGTGGCGGTGGCAGAGGGGCTGGCTGGGGCACAAGGGTGCTGAAACTGCAGAGCTGTGTGGCTAGGTGGCAGGCAGGAGTCACGATGTATGCCCACTGTCAGTATCTACATGTGTATTTAATTGTAGTTAATTACTCAGCCATAAGATAGTACTGTCCCTTACAGCACTATCTTAGCAGAGTGTTAATTAGTTCACTGCGACCTAATAGTGTCTCACATGTAGACAGTGACACTTTACTCTGCAGCTTGCAGTAAAGCACACATGTAAATGTGGCCTCTATTATCAGCTCAAGATTATCATAAATGATTCCTGTCACAGGAATAAAAACAATCAGTGACAACAGACAGTAATGCTTATCCAGATTTGTATGGTCTAGAAACTGGATTTCATGATTTTTTTTTTCCTAGCCTAGTTTCAAATTAACAGTAACTACAGCAGGAGAAAATATTTTCGTGATAATTGAACTTCTGTTTTGAATCTGTACCAAAACAAGTCAGAAGGAAAATAAATAAATATAAACAGAACCAAAACCTCTAAATCTTAAAGTTTTGGGTTTTATTCAAACTAAACCTCAAGTTTAGGGTTAGGAGTTTTATCCAAACTACTGCAGTGTGCTTATGTATTGATTTAGTTATACTTTAGAAAACTGTGGCAGCCACAGAGGCTATTCTGAACAGTGCTTTCACTTTGAATTATATTACATGGCACATTCATCAATCTGTTTTCTGATCAAGTAGTGCAGGGGAGGGCCAACCTGTACCACAAGAGCATAGGCACTAGGCAGCTTGTGTATGGCACATGGCAGGGAAAGGACAGGCAGCACAGTGGGAGGTAGGACAGGAATAAAAAAGCAGAGTGGCCAGAGAAGGATATCAGAGTGGCATTCACGGAGAGTATGGGGCTAATCTGTGGCCCACCAAAAAGCTTGACTCTCACGGAAGTATCAGACTCATAGCAGTGTTTTTTTATTTCTGAAGTAGACAGTCTCAATATTCCTTGGCATTGGGTTTGCATTGTTCCAAACCTGAGGTCTTTACATCCTCTAAGAATTCAGTGCCCTGATGCTGGTGAAAGGTTACTGTGCTATGGGCCAAATTCAGTCCTGGCCTAGATGGGTGCAACTCCCTTGGTTAAAATAAATGGAAACAGAATAGGGTAGAATTTGTCCCTGTACGGTGTTTCAGCTGAGCAAAGTGAGAAGCTTGCTGTAGTGCTCGCCATTTGGGCAAAGGATATAGCAGAAGGAAATGTTTTAGAACAAATTCTGTTTGGAAAGAAAAGGAAAGGAAAGGAAAGAAATTGCTAGTTTTGAATAAAGGGACATCTCTGCTTACGCAGGATAAAACTGTGGAACTGGAAAAGTCATCAACAATTGCAAGAAATCCACTGATGCTCCTATCCCCTCTCTCAAGCACTCTTTCATTATGCCACTGCCCTAGAAATTAGTCTGGGTATATGTAGATGAAATGGGGGCCCTAAATTGAAGTGGGTTTTTTTTAAAAACATCCGCTTTAGTTTAGGGCCCTTTAAACCCCCGTGTCATGCACACACCCAAACTTACCCACCTCTCTAGTGGCAGGAAGGGAAAGGTGAGCTGCCGGTGTGTGGATCAGTCCCTGGGCTGCAGCAGGGTGCTTTCCTCCATGGCAGTGGTGGCCCCCCGCCTAGGTGGCACCTGCCCACAGGCACCTGGCTCAGGTGGTCCCAGGGCACACCGTAGCCATGGAGGGAAGCACCAGGCCCCTGAGGAGCTCAGGCAAGCAGGCAGGCTCCAGGTGGGGAAGAAAAGATCAGGCTCACCGCTTGGGCGGAGTCTTTCTTCCCAGACTGCTGCCAGGCTGCCTGCATGGGCTTCCTTCAGAGCCCCTGAGCTGCACGGAGCCCAGTGCTTTGCTCCATGGCTGTAGGGCAGCAAACTAAAACTCCTTGGCGTAGTTTTAGTTTGCTGCGCCCCAAGTCATTTAGGGTGCGTTACGCTGCCGAATTTGCTACAGCGGCTGGAGTTACTAGGCAATACACTGCTGACGCGTGCAAATACGAACACCATTAAAGCGGTGCAAAAGCATTTAACCTGCTTTAAAGTGGTGTGTACACATGCCCCTTGTTTCATCTACACACGGCCTCTATGACCAAAGATTGGTCCGGACTAGGGGGTCCAAATCCAGTTCTACTATTTTTGGCCAGCATGCCTTTCTATATAGTCAATGGAAGGAAACAATGTACACTCTATACATTCAGGTCCAGCTAATTGGAATTGTTTTGGGGTTAACAAAATAGCTTACTATATTTTTGTCATAGTTTCTACAAGTATTTCAATACCTTTCAATACACAATACAATCCTTTAAAAATGGTGGCTATTTTAGAAGCAGTGGGTTTGGTGCTCAGCACTGCCATTGCCTAATTGATATAGTGCTTTTCCCCAGGACTGCACCAAATTGAAATTCATGTACATTAGGCAAGCCACTTTCAGATGATGGTGGTCAGCTTAACATAACTTTTAGTATGTCCGTATGGTATGCTTACTTTCATTGTCTTATTACACTAGCAGCAGTGCTAACAGTCCCTTGATACAAGGATGACAGTCTTCCAGTAAACAGGAAAGTCGCTGGTGAATCTGTAGATGACTGAAGCCAATCTGACACCTGCATATTCAACTGCAGACATGGCAAATAGTTCTGGGAGGAAGGAGTAGATGCTGGTAATGTCAGGTC